GCGCGGGCCGCGGAGGCGCAGGCGGAGGGCGGCGAGCGCGGGTGGAGCGAGGCGCAGCTGCGGCGCTACGGCTTCCGCGCGCGGCCCATCCCGCGCCTCAGCCACGGCGACCCGCGCGCCGAGGAGCTCATCGAGAACGAGGTGAGGCCGGGCGGGGAGGGCCGCTTGCGCGGGAGGGCGGCTGGCCCGAGGCCGCGCCGCCCCGCGGGAGGGGCGGGGAGGGGGCGCCCTTCCCGCGAGGCGCTCCAGGAGCGGGCTCGGGAGGCCGGCGGGTCTGCCGGGCGCGCGCGCGGCGCCGCTCGGGGGATGCGGTTGGGCCTCCGGGGTCGGGGGCGGTCGGGCAGCAGGGGCGGCTGGCGCCAGGTCTCCCGCGCGGGCTGGACCCCTCGCCCCCGAACGTGGGGAAGGGCTCGACGGGAATCCCGTGGTCTGCTCCCCGCTCGGCAGCAGAGCTCGCCGGGTGAGTTTGGCGCAGGCCCGGGCTCTCTTCCTTGCCTGCCTCGCGGGGTTGTTCCGAGGGCGAAATTGTGAGGAGGATCATCCAGCCTTCCTGAAAGGAAAGAGGACGACACGCAAATATCAGAAAAGGAGGAGAAGCTGTATTGGGCAGGTGCACGTTGTAGTTGGGAGGGATGAACCCTCGGTAAGGTGGAAGATCGGCATAATTTGTGGTGTGCTTGCAAGACGAGAAGTATTGCCTAGCACGTTCCTGTTGCAGGAGGGGAGCTGGGAGAGCAAATGGTGTGCGGCTGGCTTCCCTTCTTCAAACAAGTAGTTCTAAATCTGAAGTATCCTCTCTCTGAATGCCTTTCGTTGCCCAGCTATGTTACAAGCAGCTCCAAGTTCTTTAATTACCATGTTATGGAAAAAATGATAAGTTTGAAGGCAACACCGTATCCTTAAGTGCTAATAGCTGAATATCCAAGCTGAAGAATCAGGGATTTCCTGTCACAATAAAAACAGTTCCATCTTGGTGCTCCTCCTCCGCCTTCTAATTTCTATTGGCTCATAGTGAATTACCACAGTGAGCAGTCACTGTCACCTTGCTTGTGGGTGTCTTTTGAGCTCCTTTTACATCATTGCTTTTCGTCAGGTATTTTAAGCTGAATATTTGCAGTGACTTAGTAGTCTCCTACCGTTTTCACAGGAATTTGCGTTGTCATGTTTTGTTTTTTCTTTCCAGGAGCCAGTGGTGCTGACAGATACAAACTTGGTATATCCTGCCCTAAAATGGGACTTGGACTACCTCCAGGAGAACATTGGGAATGGGGACTTTTCAGTATACCGAGCCAGCACCCACAAGTTCTTGTATTATGATGAAAAGAAAATGGCAAATGTTAAGAACTTCAAGCCCAAGTCAAGCAGGGAAGAAATGAAATTCAGTGACTTTGTTGAGCAGCTCCAGGAAATCCAGCAGCAGGGTAGTGGAGAAAGGTAATATTTGGGGTAGGCTAACTTACTGTCTCCCAACCTTCCCTTTTTTTTTTTTTTGAAAGACATACGCTATCTATAGAAGTACTCTTGGATCTTTTAGTTGTGTTGTATATTTGTTTTTGTAAAAATTAAAATCTAAGAAAAAGAAATACCCTTGGATTTTACTTTTGATAGGAAGCTCATTTTTTGCAAACATACAAAAAGCTAAGAAAGGGGATGTCTCTTCATTATTTGCTTGAAACTGTTCTTAGTTATTTACTACGGGACTGGAAGCATTCTGCATTTGGCTTTTTGTGAATGGTACTGCTGGGGTTGGTCTGGCCACAGGACACTCTGACACAGTTCTAAGGGGCTAGGCTTCCATGAGATGTTGGTCCTGGCCTGCTCTTTGCAGAGTTGCTGAGCTTACAAGGAAAAAGGGTGAGGCATTCTGTATTGCAGAGCAGTTCTTTATGTTGCAAACTCATTCATGGTTTCACTTCACTTTGTACAGTCAGATCCTGTGCCTGCTGCCTTGCAGGGGTTTCTCTCCCCTGCGCCCCCACTACACGCGCACTTTCTAAAGGAGCAGAATCAGATGTATTTGTATTGTTGTGGTAAACTCAAAGTTGAGGGGGGATATTTAAAGGGGCTTCATCTCCTGACATCCAAATATGTTCAACTGTAACTTTTTTGGTTTGTGTAGAATTATAAAGAAGTGATAAAATCTATTTAAAAATCACCAGAGTTAAAATGAAAACAATAAACCAAAAGACTAGGAAAAAACAGTAAAATAACTGCTTTAGTCAGCCATTCTTACTAAAAGGTTATCTTGCTGGGCATCCTCAGTTACCTAAGCAACCTGCAGGTTGATGGGGATAAGTATTGTGGGCTACAGTGCAACATTTTGGAAAGTGTGTGACTAAAATGCAGAAGCTGGTGTCAAAAGAGTAGGTGCTGCGTTCCACAGATTGGACCAGGGAAACTCAGTGTAGTCTTGACTGGGCTTTTGCTTACTGGCCTTCAGTGAGTCCACTCAGCACTTTTATTGCTTCAGGTGGATTGGATTTAAAAAAGTGTAGCTGGGTGTTGTCACAGAATCGATTGCATACCTCAACTCTATATGTTGAAATAGGTGGGAAACCTCAGATCTGGGGTCCAGTTCTGCTCTCCAGGGGTCTCCAGCTGGCCGCAGGTCCTCCCTCAACCACCAATTGATTGGTGGTTTCCTGGCCTTTGTGCAGCACCCTCCCCCATCCTAAGATGTAGGCAGGCCTTGGCCTTCCCCCTTTATCCCTCTGCCTCTGGAATGTGACCCTGCTCCCAGAGCTGCTCTGCAATTGACCTGGATGGCATATAAATAGAACTCTGCTGCACCCTGTGACCCACTGCCCTTAGGCAATGCGATTGCTCCCTGCATCTGGAGGCAGCGGTTTAGGTAGGAACAGACCCCCCCCTGGAGGCAGAGCTCCAGGAGAGCGTGCGCCCCTGCCTGGCATAGGGTGTACAGAATGAGACCACGGACTAGATTAAAATCAATGCAGGTAACTGACGGGACCTAAGAATGACCAGCTTGAATGGCCACCCAGTAATGAAAGGGACAGATGTTCTTTTCTCTTTCTGAAGGCCACTGGCCATGCAAACTTAACCTCGGCTTATCAGAAGTTGGCAAGATGATGTACAATTGATGTAGAGTTTGCAGGGTAATCAATGTACTTTATTTTCTGTGCATGTGCAGTTAAATTTTGCCCCTTTGTTTTTTTGGGCGTACAGGTTGTACCTGCAGCAGACCCTGAATGACACAGTTGGGAGGAAAATTGTGGTGGATTTCCTGGGCTTTAACTGGAATTGGATCAACAGGCAGCAGGCAAAACGAGGCTGGGGTCAGCTGACATCCAACTTGCTGCTGATTGGCATGGAAGGTAAGAAGCCCGCCCTCGGCCGAAATGTGGATTAAAGGCTCTAGCCAATTCACAGTTGTTTGCTTTGATTCCTTTTAGAGCTGCCGCTATCGAGAACCACTCGGGTATTTCTTTTGTACAAGCACCTCATCTCAAGTTTGCAAAGGCGCCTAAGTCAGGACAGATCAGGAATTGTGTGATCCCACGAAGTGGTGGCAGCTTGTGTGTTCTCACCCAACCCTTTCGTCACCCGTTACTAGCATAGCGAACAGTATGGGGCGGGAGGGTTTGTTGCCCTCCAGACGGGTTTGTGGCCCATTGCTCACCGCTGCTGTGAGCATAAGGAATTGCAGGGCGGTGTGGCTTGAAGTCCAAACCGCAAATGGAAAGGGCACAGCCCTGGTGGAGGTTGGTTCAGGGGTGGCAAGCTTTTCTCACTCTGGGGGCTGTGCACTCTCCTAGGCAACTTGGGGGACATGCCAGTGACAGGAGCCAAAGCACCCTACCTGTACGTACACTCCCGAAAGAAGCCTGAGCATTTGGGGGTGGGGTGGGGGTGTTTTAGCGGCATTGTAGCATTGGGGGGAGGTTAACCATTTGTTGACGGCGGCTGCCTCCCGGTGTCCCTCCTCCCCTCCCTGGGCTGCAGTTGGATTTGACTCCAGCGCGACTTTCAAGCTCCACTGCTGCATGGAAGAGTGCGGAGGAGGAGCAGTCGGTGGCTCGTGAGTAAGGCTTCCTGGGCTGCCAGCGGTCTTTGGGAAGGGCTCCTATAAAATGGGGGTGCGTTTGGATGGAGAGTCTGCATGGCTGTTTCAATCGGTGCTGGGTGGATTCCTGCCTGATGCTGCGTGATTCCGCAGGCAGGTTGCCGAGCAGTCAGCTGACTGCCCCAGCAAGAAGTCCCTCTGCACAGGCCAGTGCTGCTCGTGCCGTTTTGTTTTACGGCTAGTGTCAGGATAGCCCCACTTTTGCAAGAGTTCACATGATGCAGGTCATGGAACGCGTGTGGCTGGATCCTCTGTGTAACTGAACAAAGTGTTGAGGTTTCCAATAGCAAGCTTTGATTTACTTCCAGGAAAGAGGTGCTCTTTTGTAAACTGGAGGTAATCACACCCAGCTTTTAGGGTGATCTCTCAAAATAATATCAAGAACCACTTCTCGTGCTTTACACAGCTCTCTGTGTGGGTTACCACAGGTATGGAGGGCTTTCTCTGTGGTGGCGCCCCATCTATGGAATGCGCTCCCCAGAGAGGTCCGCCTGGTGCCGTCGTTATTTGTTTTTCGGTGCCAGGTTAAGACCTTTTTATTCCAGCAGTATTTTAATAAGTGTTAATACTGTCTTTTCTATGTTTTTAATTGCAGCCAGTGTGAGTCGGGAATTTTATTTATGATATTTATGTTATATTTTACATTGTAAGCCGTTCTGAGGCTTTTTTGCGAATAGGATGGCATATAAATATTTTTATATATATATATATGGGAAACCCCAGCCTGGGGACCAGATCTAGCTCACTGGTTCCCAGGCCAGTCCACCAGCCTCTTTCTCAGCCTTGTCTCCAGTCCCAGCAGGAAAAGTTCTCGTCAGCTGCTGATCAGAGAAGAGCTTTAGCTGCTGGGGAGATGAGACAGATTCTGTGGGAATGCAGCCCTTGGAATGAAAAGGGTGCTCCATCCTGGGAGTGTCTGCATGGCAGTCATAACACTGCCCTCATATTTGACTAGTGGCCGAGGAACTGCTGCTTGTGTGGGTGCTGAGAATGTGGTGGGTTTTGTGGCATGCGCTGAGACCTTTGGCGCCCCATGGATTGCTTATAGGCCACGAGGCATGCCCTCATTATGAATGTCTTGGTGTTGGGAGGATCTTCTCAAACATCAGGATGGGGCATCTGTTTTCCAGTGACTATTTCAACCTTTTCTTATGCAGGGAATGTGACTCCCGCGCATTATGATGAGCAGCAGAATTTCTTTGCTCAGATTAAGGGATACAAGCGGTGTATCCTGTTTTCCCCTGACCAGTTTGAGTGCCTCTATCCCTATCCTGTGCATCATCCGTGTGACCGGCAGAGCCAGGTGAGGAGACGTCGGTTCCAAATGACCTCCGTTGTGTAAGAATGTGCTGGGTGGCTTCGCTGTGTGGCAGGATTCCCACTGCCCTTTGCGTTCTGTCCAGCCATGACTGACCAGTTGCCTGGATGAATGTCACCAAGTGGGATCTGCCGTGCCCGCCCTCCTTTTCTGTTGTCAGTGGCCCCTAAATAGGATATATCAATTTTTACAACTGCTTATAGCTTTGGCCAGGGATAGCATATGAGTGCGATTGAATATGCTTCCACCAAAGCATCTACACTATCAGTTAGTAGGTTCCCACAAATTACTGCTGCTTAAAAAGTGCAAGAATCCTCTCTGAACACAAGTGTGCCTTTCCTGTGTCATCAGCAAGGGGCAGCCTGCCTCTTGCATGCAGTGAAGAGAAAGAGCTGTTGACACGTGTGACCTAAGCCTGTGCTGTGCAGAGCTGTTTCTGAGAACTAAAATAGTTGCTGTCAGCTCCTCCCTGGCAAGCACAGCAGAACAAGCACTTGCCTTTAAAACCAGGGTTTGAAAAGCTAAGAAATTGTCTTTTCTTCACCACAAGAGTGACCCTCTACCTTCTTTCTGCATGTAAATTGGAAGGGGAGAAAGGTAGTAGGACCACAAAAAAAGAAGGAAGGAGATCCAGTGACTGATACGGGAAACAGGCACAGATGCTAAATGACTATTTTGCCTCTGTGTTCTCCCCAAAGCAGGATGGGGGAGATCCGCATCGGAGATTAGGTGAGGCCGGGGACTTGGGGGCACAGATTAGAGTCACCCCCTAGAAGTTGAGGGGCTCCTCAGGGCATTGGAAATTACAAAGGCGCCAGGCCCTGACGGGTTGCACCCAAGAGTACTTCGAGAGTTGGCAGGGGTTCTCTCACGCCCGCTGGCCTCCATTTTTGAGGCCTTGTGGAGAACAGGTGAAGGTCCAGAGGACTGGAGGGTGGCGTCAGTGGTTCCAGTTTTCAAAAAGGGTAGTAGAAGGGACATGGGGAATTACAGACCTGTTAGCCTTATGTCCATTGTAGGAAAAACAATGGAAAGGCTCATAATAGTGAGAGATCTAGTGATGCTAGATAGGGAAGGGAGGCTGGCAGCCACACAACACGGCTTCTGCAAAAACAGGTCCTGCCAGACAAACCTTGTGGAATTCTGTGACAAGGTTTCAAGGTGGCTGGATGGAGGGGATGCAGTGGATGTGGTATACCTGGATTTCAGCAAGACCTCTGACAAAGTGCCCCATAATATCCTGGTGGAGAAACTGAGGAGTTTTGGGATACACCAAAGCACTGTCCGGTGGATTAGGGCATGGTTGACTGACCGAAAGCAGAGGGTAACCATTAGTGGGGAATCCTCGGGATGGCAGCCAGTGACAAGCGGGGTCCCCCAGGGCTGTGTCCTGGGGCCGATCCTGTTCAATGACATGGCAGAAGGGGTGAAGAGTCTGCTAATCAAAATCGCAGACACTAAAACTGGGGCAGTGGCCACAACTGAGGAGCAGGTACTCCAGATCCGAAAGGATCTGGACAGACTATGGAAGTGGGCAGGAGACAACAGGATGGTGTCCAGTGTGGATAAGTGCAAGGTCTTGCACTTGGGGCATAGGAGTAGGTGTCATAAGTACAGGTTAGGGGACAAGTGGCTGGAGAGCAGCACTTGTGGAAGGGACCTCGGGGTGCTGGTTGATTGCAGGCTAAACATGAGCCAGCCGTGTGATGCGGTGGTCAAGAGGGCGGACACCACCCTTGGTTGCATAGCCAGAAGTGTGGCTTCTAGATCAAGAGAGGTATTACTACCACTCTGGTGCGCCTGCAACTGGAGTATTGTGCTCAGTTTTGGGCCCCTCATTACAGGAAGGATCTAGCCAGGTTAGAGTCAGTGCAGAGTAGGGCCACAAGGTTGGTGGCTGGTTTGCAGGGGATGCCGTATGAGGCAAGACTGAGGGAACGGGGCCTCTTCAGCCTGGAGAAGAGGAGACTCAGAGGGGATCTGTTGGCGACATGCAGGTACGTGAGGGGGTGTCACATGGAGGTGGGTAGAGACCTGTTCTCCCCTGTAGAGGAAGGCAGGACGTGTGCCCACAGAGCAAAGCTCAGGGAACCCAGGTTCCATCTAGATGCCAGGAAGCAGTTCCTGACAGTCAGGACCCCGAGGGTGTGGAATGGGCATCCACGAGAGGTGGTTGAGGCCCCATCGGTGAGGGTGTTCAAAGACAGACTGGAGATGGTGGGCATATGGTGAGCGGAGCCGGCTGGAGCCGGGGGTCAGACTAGATGGCCCGGGAGGCCCTTTCTGACTTGCTTTGCTTCTATGTTTCTAAATAGGTTTTGCTCTGCTGCTGAACGTAGCGTAAAGCCAGTGCCAGTTGCTTCCATCCTGAGGGTTTCTTCCCCTGTCTGGGCAGCAGCACAGAGCTGTCTGCATTTTTGTCACACAGTGTTCTAGTGGCACTTGGAGGAGCAGCACCCCTCGTCGCCTTAATGCACGGGCAGGAAACTCTAGGCAGAGGCGCCCGTTCAGATATTTGGGTCCACAATTGTTTAAGTCTCTAAGCACCAGCAACCCGAATTGGGCTTGGAAGCAAATAGGCAGCAAGTGCAGCTCTCTTAGAACTGATGCAGCCTCCCCTGGCTGTGCTGGTCACACAGGGTGTCCTCTCCTTCTGTGAGCCTGGTACCATCCCTGCTCTGTGCACTGTGCTCTTTGTTGCACAGCTGCTGGTTCCTCAGCGGGCCAGGGAGTGGTGCAGGGGGAGGTGCTTGGGAGCCCTTTCCTCCCTACCACGCCATGGTGAGGCCGGGGCTTTGGTAGGAACGCAGACCGCTTTAACCGGAGGTTCCCTAAGAACGTTCCGAATGCCTTGTCTTCTGTCCGTCTCCCGGGCTGGGTCGTCGTGATCGGTCCTTCCGCCAGTCCTGGGAGAGGGATGCCTCCGCTAGGCCCCCGAGGGTTTGCTGCCTGCCTCGAGTGAGACTTGCAGGCCTTCCTGCCATTGCACTGATATGCCGTTAAGGTAAATATAACCTGTTGCTGTTTTATACTTAACCACTTTACTTAACTCAAGTGGGGTCTAAAAATCAACTATGATTGATACGGTTTATCAGATAAGCCAATCGAGAGCAAATTTGCTACGATTTTTGTCTACGGACAAGTGGGTTTCATGTGTGCCTCAGGTGATGTTCTCCACTGCTGCATTTGCAGGGTGGAGAAGCGGGGGTCGGTGCCCAGGCGCCTTATTTTTGAAAGACCCAGTGTCTGTCTTGCTGCGCTCACACATTTTGGCAGCAGATTCAGCCAGGGGCTGGGGTGGGATTGCCCCCGGGGAGTTGCCCCTCCCTGCTGTGCTGCTAGGATCTTCTGGCTGAATTCTGTCTCTGATAGGCAGCAGATCATGGTCCCTGTTGGTTCTTGCTCAGGCACCTGTTCTGTTTTCTTGAGAGGGTCTCAGGGTGTGGGATTCCAGCATGTGCCCTGTGATGTGGGCCTTTTCAGTGACATTTTTGTTTGTTTGTTTTGCTAGGTCGACTTTGACAACCCCGACTATGAGCGGTTTCCCAATTTCCAGAACATAGTTGGCTATGAGGCTGTGGTGGGCCCAGGCGACGTGCTTTATATTCCCATGTACTGGTAATGAGCACAGAATTGTTTCACGGCTTCACGGCTGAGAATTGTTTCGGGGTGTGGGCATGACCGGCAACTATGGCGGAATCCAGGGCCAGATTCAGACACTGAACTTTTGGAACGCTGGGAGCTCTCTGTGGGCGTCTTTTGCCTCAGTTAAATTGTGAGGCCGGTGCCCTTTCACCTTTCTCTGTGTTCTGTTAGGAGGGGAAGGAAAGAATTGTTGCCTTTAGTTTCAATGCCAAGGTCTTGGTCTTTCCCAGGGAGCTCACTTTAGATTCGTGGATACTTAAAAAGAAACAAAAGCAATGTGGATACAGAGCGTTAACAAGCAAAAGAAAGCTTGCATTGTCTTTGGCTGTGGTCATACTGGGTTTCTGAGTAGGCCGGGAGATGCTTCATGGGCCTTCAGAATTGCCTGAGCGAGTGATACATCTGTTCTTCTGTGAGCCTGCGAATGAAAGGCAATACCTTTGCCGTGGGTTTTAAAAGTCCCTCTTCCCACTGCTGCAGGGCCTTTCCGTCTATGTGCAGGTTCTTCTTCCTTCTGGGGAGCCAAGCTGCTTCGTGAGGCAGAATTCGGTTCTCGTAGCAAAGACAGACCGTGGGGAGGGTGGTTCCCAACAAGCAGAAGCCCTGGCAAGACATGCCTCCCAGGAGCGCATGGCCCTCGAACAGATTCGCCCGCTGGACCCGAGCAGCCTCCTTGCCGCTCTCCTCGGGGAGCCCGTTCAGTTCACTTTCTCACAGAGTTTAACGGGTGGATATTTCGCTGTGTGTTAGAGTAGATAGAACAAAAGTGTCTCAGGCGCTGGCTTATAGACATGGACATCGAGGCATAAATTGCACGCCCTTTCCTATCTTGAGGTTTGGCATTTGGGGTGTTTACTCTGCATCTCTTGTATACTCATCCACTTACTTTGCCCTAACATTTAATGAAGGACTTGGCCAATGCGGCAGAGATGACACTGTTGTGAGGAGGCGTTTTTGTCTGCCTGGGTGGGAACAAGGGCTCGTCATCGGTTCTGGCTTGCCAAGAGGTTTACAGTCCCCTCGTGGTGACGGCTTCCCTTCTCCGTGCAGAGCCCTATGGCCCACTTCACTTTGATCTGCCCCTAGGCCTGGCCATGAAACGTTCGGGAGGAATGGGCTGGGTTGGAGTCCCACAGAAGCTGCAGGCAGCGCGTGAAACGGGAGAGAGCACAGCTTCCTTTCAGTTCTCTGCAGCAGTTTCAAGTGAGAACATGCTTCAGCCAAAGGGGGAGATGCTGGCTTTGCATTCTCGGACACATAGGTCTGAAAGAAGGGGAATAGTGGAGGTGGCGAAGTCCCCGATCAGCTGCGTGTGGGAATGCTATAGCACTGATGTCGCGGATGCTGAGATTCACAGGCATGTCAGTGGTTCTGTCCTTTCTGTGGCTCTGTCTAGGTGGCACCACATCGAGTCTTTGCTGAATGGGGGAACGACCATCACTGTGAACTTCTGGTACAAGGTAAGCAAGTCTGGCTCAAGGTGTGGGCCAGTGGTGCATGAATCGCTCTCCCCATTTGGACAGTTTCTGGTTCAAGAAACTCCTGCTTGAGAGTTTTGCACATCTTTAGAAAAATGTCAATGTCTTGTTGTTTTTCCAGGGCGCCCCGACCCCCAAAAGGATTGAGTACCCACTGAAGGCTCATCAGAAAGTGGCTATAATGAGGAACATAGAGAAGATGTTGGGCGAGGCCCTTGGAAGCCCACAAGAGGTACGGCACAAACCAGGGAGCTCTTGCTAGAGTTGGGGGGCTGAGTTTGCACAGCAGAGCTTTCCTTAGGTGTTCTGGTCCTGAGCTTGCTGGAGTTCCTCAGGTGGCTGGAAGGTTTACTCCAGGGAGCAGATAGAGGAGATGGGGAGCTTCAAATTGTGCTGGAAGACACAGCAACTAGCTTGTAATATGGATTAAGTATTGCATATATCTTTGGTGCTTTGCCTAAACATGACTAAGAGCCCATGCTTCGTGTTGTCCTTGTGATTTCATCTCTCAGACATTAAGATAGAATGATAGAGCCTGGTATTCTTTTCAGGCATATTTCTGCATTTCAGGTTTGGATAGTAGTCTGATTTTTCAGGGGCCGGAAATGTTTAGAACATGTTGGGTCGAGGGACTGGATTCCCTCTCTGCTGGCTGGGCAACATGAGGGGGCAGGGCCTTACCTGGGCTGTCAGGAATGGGGCCCCGCATCCCCCCGCAATGCCTTTGGCCTCCCAGCAGGTGCTTCTGCAGCTTGGCATGGCAACTGGGCAGCTGGCTTTGCTCTGCCTGGGCCTTCCCCCAAGCCAGGGAGAGGGCAGGCAAAGCAGAAGGGGCTGGTTTGCTCCTCTGTCGCCTTCCCCGTGTAGAGAAAACGAGGGAGGAGCAACCATTGTTCTTTTGCCCTGCCTTACACCAAGCCTATTGCACAAATCCATTTGTTTTATTTCTGCTAAGGAAGTTTGTGAAACGGACAGCATCACTTGTATTAATGTGGCAACAAGAAGCAGTGGCGATCTGAGGGCTGCTGCTCTTACTGGGGAGTGGGGGCGCTGGCGAGCATGCTGAAGGCTGAGCCCCCAGTGTGTGTCCATCCATCACAAAGGGGGGGGGGGGGCGCAATGATATTTCGGCTTTGGTCCGGCCCGTGTTCAGCTTTTTCCGCTGCACTTGCTGTTCTGTAGACTGGCAAGACTGCTGCTGCTGGTCCAGTCAGCTTTTCCGGAGATAACGGTGGTTATGTTCTTTTTGCTTTGAAACAGGTGGGTCCCTTGTTGAATATGATGATTAAGGGGCGGTATGAATAATGCGTGGCCAGTGCAGTGGTGGACGTCCGAGCTGCTTCACCGAGTCCTGGAGGATAACGAGCGCTAGTATTGCACGCAGCACTTAAAAGACTAAGGGACCCCTGGCCCAGTTCTGCCCCACTGTGTACTGCTATAGGGGATCACCGGCATCAGAACCTTTCCATTCATCTCTTCTTTCGCCTTCCGGAAGAATGCCAAGGAAGAACCCAGCACCGATAACTCCTTGTTCCCTGCCTGCTGAGATCATAGAGCTTGGCACCTGGTACTTAAAGCATTATGAAATATGTTTGGAAGGAGGTTGAGTCAGGCTGATCTCGTCAGCCCCTCGACTCCATTCCACACACGGGATGCCTGGAGTTGCATGAGGGGCGGGCATGCTAGAGCCAAGCCTGGGGCTGAGAGACTCTCAGCGTGTGGGGGGTGGGGGGCGACCTTTCAGCCACGGACACGTCAGATGCTTTGTTTTGTTTGGGCAGTAGAAGCAAGTGCATGACGGCACCTGTGTAGTTGCCTGTTTGGGTGAGTAACTAGGCCGGCCATTTCGATCTTCCTTCTGCACCTCAGCGTTAGAAATCTACCTAGAAAACCTCCACCTTCAAGCCATCTCACCTCGCATATTTAACCTCCAAACTGCGTGAAGGCAGTGCTTTCACTGATGGTGTAACTTAAAGCACATTTATGGTTACAAATGGATGAAAGTCAGGTAGAGGTGGAGACGAAAATGTCTTCCAAGTCTGCCTTGTCTCCTCAGCAGCAAAAACAGCGTTCTGGGGGGCCCCAGCTCTCCCCTTGCCTAAAAACACAAGAAAACAGGCCAAAATCCCCTTGCACACAACTTCCCTTTACACCACTCAGGATATTGGTTCTTTGGACAGCTCACAGTAAGTGTTCCTTTTTTCTTCAGTAAAAGTGTGTTGTGTTGTTTTCTGTCCCGATAGCTGCATGGGAGCGTTAGTTCCATTCCACCCACAGCCTTCTGCAGCCCAGATCAAGCGATAAGTGACTAGGCAGAGAAGGGAGAGCAGCAGCCTGGCAGTGATGTTTTCTGCAGTGGCTTTCTCAGCAGAGGTTTCTGGGTGAGGTGGAATGCTCCATTCTCCTTTCCCTGTTTTCCCCATAACTGGAAGGGAACATGAATGTCACTGGTTTTATTTCGTCAAGACGAGCGTGTGGTGTTGCAATCCCAGAGGACGAAGGACAAGGTGCTTCCCTGACGTAACGACTATTGCTTTGTCCCTTTGCCACGGAACAGAAATCCCTGGAGCAGCTCTCCTTTTCCCAGTGAGAGAGGAAAATGGCTCACTGCCTGGCCAAACACCTTGGCATAACGACCCTTTTCCGGGACAGACCACTTTCCTGTCATTTCCTGTGAATTCTGGATGCAGTGGCTGAAATAGTACTGAGGAGAACGGGGGGGTGGTGTCAGCTGCCACTGGGCTGGGTAAGTGTCTTCAGCGGGACATTGGGGAGAGCCATGAGCTTCGTTACAAGCAGACGCTTGTTTTGGCTCTGCGATTTGCAGGGAGGCCATGGCGGACCAGTGCTCTGGACACTCTTCGGTCTGGGCTGGGACAGGGTGGCCTGCAGAGGTCGAGGTGGGGCTTCTTGAGTGGCAGCGGCAGTGTGGCCTTTGGCTGAGAGCAAGAGCAGTGCCCAGGCTTCCTGGAGTGCAATCCTGGGTAGGCTACAGCCTTCACCCGTGTGCTCCCAGGTTGGGCCGCCGGCAGAACCTTGTTCTGTGTAGTGCTCGTGAAGAAATAGCCGGTGCCTCAGTAGAAGGAAGAAGACGGGACTTAAATGCAATCTTTGGATCTCTTTTTCTTTTTGCCAAAGGTGTAACTTTTGAAAGTTTCTAAACAGTTGGGTTTTTTAAAAAAACATTGCACTCGACTGGTGCGAAAGCTCAGTTTACAATGCACTGATGGACTGAATTAGTCAATCTCTTTCTCTTTTTTTTAATCCTTTGCTTTTTTATGCCCTGCAGTGGTATTGGGGAAGTTTGTGTGTGTTCTGGGATGTGTGAAAACACATGGGAAAAACATAATACCTTCTGAAGTGTAGTTCTTAAAATACAACTGTTGTTCAATGACAAAAGTGTGGGCTTTTTTTCCCCCGTTCTGCATAACTCGTATTCCTCCTCCTGTGTAAAGAATTCAACTGTGGGAAAGGGAACCCCCGCGAAGGTTCTGGTGCGAGCCAGTCTCGCAGTGCTGCAGGCTCAGCCGTGGCGGCATTGCCAAGGCCTTGCGCCTGTTTATATCTGGAGCAACAATTTTAGCCTGTTCAGAACTGTAAAAGGAAGAGCTTGGCATAGGAGCACAACTGAATCAGCTTCAAGCCTTCCAGGGAGATCTTCCTGCCATCTAAGCTAGTGGTCTCCAGGCATTTGGGATCCTTGGGCACATCTGGATTCTAGAGAAAGTAGGGACACCGCAAGTGTGCGGCAGGGAGGCTTCCTGGAATTGGCTGCATGGGCTGCCGGCCATCGCAGCGTTCCCTGGGGAAGAAAGGCCAGCTGACGTGGGAGCCCGCGCAAAGGAAGCGGTTTCCATTCCATGCATTCAGCTTCAGTTAGACTTCAAGCCTCATGGTGAGCGTTGGACTCTGTGGCTCCACCTTGACGCACACGCTGAGCAAATGCCACAGCAAAATTGGAAACGGTCTCCAGAGGGGAACATGAGCTGAAGTTGTGGCAACATGTCCTCTGTGCGCACAGAAGGATCCTTAGGCCGCCCTTCAGTCGACAGAAGGCCCCCTCGTCCTCTCCAGGTGAGGAGCCTGTCTGCGTAAACGGGCCATCTCTTGCAATCCAGCGATGCAGTGCACCAGCTACTTGCAGTGTGTTAGCGAAAGCACCACTGAACAATTCTTAAACGGCAAAGAGGTATAATGGCAAGGGTGGCAAAACCTTTCAGTTCTGATGGCCACAGCTTTTCACAGCTAGTTATATTTTTCAATAGAACTATTCAATCAAGCTGTCCTTAAAACGGGAAAGCTCCTGAATATCAAGATGGAACAAGGGAGGGCCACATGACATGAGAGCCCATCAAGGCTTAAACCAGCGAGGCTGTGGTGCGAGGGGCTGCCTTTTTGAGTGTGCAGCCTTTGTCTTCACAGGTGTTCGTGCGTGAGTTGGCCAGTGTGGGATGTGCGTGGCTTAAGCAGCCCTTGCATAGCCCAGGGCCTGTTTTAGGATTCCAGCAATGTTGTCTGACCCTTGGTTAGCCCATGTTCACACTGTGCGACATGCACCCACCAAGTGGGGGCCGTGTATGCAGGCTGGTGCCTGTGGATGCTGCAGCGCCTGAATGTTTATTGAAAGCCACTGCGGTGTAGTGGTTAAGTGTGCAGGGCCGGGACACTGGTGATCCGGGTTCTAGTCCCACTCAGTTTCGGAGCTGACTTTCGGCCAGTCAGCCGCTCAGCCCAGCCTACCTCGTAGGGTGGTTCTTGTGAGCAAACGACTGCACCCTTGTACTCGCTGTTGCCGCCGAAGGCAGAAGCTGCAGCGCTTGGCAGGAAAGGAAGTGCATGCGTCAGCGCAGACATGCAGAGGTCGAGGAGAGGGGCCTGCATTCCCAGCAGGTGAGGGGAGGATGGCCTGTAAATAATCTCAGATTCCGTGCTGGTATTCGTGCTGCTTGGGCTAAGACCAATTGGCAGCCTTGTTCCCAGCAGGGCAGAACAAGCGAGCCTTTCTGGACAGACCCTCGCCCAAAGACCCCACAGGGCTCACCCCCTCTCCATGGAGGAATCGAGCAGCTCCTCCAGGCTCTATGCAGGGAACGCTGCTTCCCTCGGCGCGTCCTGAGGCAGAGCTAGCTCCTGTGGGGCCCCTTGTTGCTCCTTCCCGGTGGGACAGCCCCGGCACGGGGCAAGGGGAGTGAGTGCGGAAGCGCCGGCCTCGCCGCAGCAAGCGCCGCGACATAAGCGCTGGTTCCTGCCTCACCGAGTCAAATATCTGTTGCAAGCAGATGATTAATTGACGGAAGGCGAGGCGCTTACAGAAGAGCGGGAACAGATGCCCGCGTGCCTTGGGGAAGCGCCACTTCCCTGCACAAAACGGAGCTTTAAATTACAAGGCTTTTACCAAGGCCAACAGTTGTGGGAAGTTGTCTGCTCTCATTTGCATAATGACTTCTGCCACTGCTGATTAGACAGGATGAAAGAAGGGAAATTTGACAATTAGGAATGAACGATAATTAATCAGAAACTTGGTTAGGAGAAGGGGAAGTCGTGTCCCACAGCCAATAGGAGCAGGCCCCGTATCGGCCACGACAGTACACGTCCGCAGCCGGTGACTGCAGAAGCTGACCTGGCCATTCCGTGTTCCAAGGCTTGTTGCAGCCGATCAAGAGTTTTGCAGGCTGAGCTGATGTGTGTGTCTGGAACCCCATACATAGAAACAGAGCGAGTCAGAAGGGGTCTCCTGGGCCATTCAGTCTGACCCCTGGCTCCAGCCCGCTCAGCTCATGACAAGCCCATCATGTGCATGTCCAGCCTATCCTTGAACACCCTCACCAATGGGGCCCCAACCCCCCCCCCCCCCCATGGAAGCCCATTCCACACCCTCGGGTCCCTTCAGGAAGTGCTTCCTGGCATCCAGATGGAACCTGGGTTCCCTGAGCTTTGCTCTGTTGGAGCGCGTTTTGCCTTCCTCTGCAGGGGAGAACAGGTCTCTACCCACCTCCGTGTGACATCCCCTCACATACGTGCATGTCGCCAACAGATCCCCCGAGTGTCCTCTTCTCCAGGCTGAAGAGGCCCAATCTCTCAGTCTCGCCTCATACGGCATCCCCTGCAAACCGGCCACCAACCTTGTGGCCCTACGCTGCACTGACTCCAACCTGGCTAGATCCTTCCTGTAATGAGGGGCCCAAAATTGAACACAATACTCCAGTTGCGGGTGCACCAGAGTCGTACAGAGTGGTAGTAATACCTCTCTTGATGTAGAAGCCACACTTCTGGCTATGCAACCAAGGGTGGCGTTTGCCCTCTTGATCACCGCATCACACTGCTGACTCATGTTCAGCCTGCAGTCAACCAGCACCCGGAGGTCCCTTCCACAAGTGCTGCTCTCCAGTCACTTGTCCCCTAACCTGTACTTATGACACCTACTCCTATGCCCCAAGTGCAAGACCTTGCACTTATCCACACTGGACGCCATCCTGTTGTCTCCTGCCCACTTCCATAGTCTGTCCAGATCCTTTTGGGTCTGGAGTACCTGCTCAGTTGTGGCCACTGCCCCAGTTTTAGTGTCGTCTGCGATTTTGATCAGCAGACTCTTCACCCCTTCTGCCATGTCATTGAACAGGATCGGCCCCAGGACACAGCCCTGGGGGACCCCGCTTGTCACTGGCTGCCATCCCGAGGATTCCCCACTAATGGTTACCCTCTGCTTTCGGTCAGTCAACCATGCCCTAATCCACCGGACAGTGCTTTGGTGTATCTCAAAACTCCTGTTTCTCCACCAGGATATCATGGGGCACTTTGTCAAAAGCCTTGCTGAAATCCAGGTATACCACATCCACTGCATCCCCTCCATCCAGCCACCTTGAAACCTTGTCACAGAATTCCACAAGGTTTGTCTGGCAGGACCTGTTTTTGCGGAAGCCGTGTTGTGTGGCTGTCAGCCTCCCTTCCCTATCTAGCATCACTAGATCTCTCACTATGATGAGCCTTTCCATTGTTTTTCCTACAATGGACGTAAGGCTAACCGGTCTATAATTCCCCATGTCCCTTCTACTACCCTTTTTGAAAACTGGAACCACTGACGCCACCCTCCAGTCCTCTGGACCTTCACCTGTTCTCCACAAGGCCTCAAAAATGGAGGCCAGCGGGCGTGAGAGAACCCCTGCCAACTCTCGAAGTACTCTTGGATGCAACCCGTCAGGGCCCGGCGCCTTTGTAATGTCCAATGCCCTGAGGAGCCCCTCAACTTCTAGGGGGTGACTCTAATCTGTCCCCCCAAGTCCCCGGCCTCACCTAATCAATGTGGTTCTCCCCCGTCCTGCTTTGGGGAGAACACAGAGGCAAAATAGTCATTCAGCATCTGTGCCTGTTCTCTCATTCGCCTGATTTAGCAGTCCCACTACTTCTTTCCCCTTTCTCTTGCTCTTCCTCTTCAACATGCTGAGTGTTGGAAGGGGCCTTGTCAGCCATCGCCTCCAGCCCTTTGTGACATCTTGCTCTGCACGCAGACACGTGGCCGAGCCGAATCGCAGCACGGCAGCCCACTGCTAACCAGTCAGCTTTTTTCCCCATGGACAAGCATAATTTTGCTGGCACCTTCAACTTTCTGGAAAAAAGTCCTCTTTGTCTCCAGAGCTGGTCTGCCGCTTAAATTCTTTCTCACTTTATGCTGCTAGGGAACCTGACACTGGCATTAATTTTGCTGTTGATCTGGCTTCCTTCCATTGCCGCTTTGAGATAATATTGCATTCATTTAACTCCATTTATTTCTAGATCTCTGATCTGTACCCCCCAGTTTGGCTTTCATTGTTTTCTCCTCCACGCCTTCCCTCTCACACTCTATAAGCAATTAATCATTTTGACAAGCTCAGCAATGGCCTCCGTTGCCTTGAGGGAGCTGGGAAAGGGCCACCGGCACGCTTGTACCAGCCATGTGCTTCCCCAGTCAGCCCAGGTGTTTTGCTGGACTGGAAAACCACTGAGGGCTGCAAAGCCTTTCTCGCTGCAAGCTGGGAAGTGGGCAGGATTAGGGCACCCAGGTGGGCCGCCCTACGGACAAAAGGGGTGTGTCTGCCCTTGCCCTTTCCACGTCAGGTGCGCCCTTTTTTGTTTCGTGGCACCAGTTGCTCAAGAGCGCCCCTGGGGGAGCAGCATCCACTGGACCAAGACGGAGACGGAGCAAAGGGGCCCCGCCGTCATCCTATCCTGTGTGTGGAGGGCAGAAGTGGCCAGGGGCTGCCCCAGCTCTTCACCCACTTTGCTGCCGCCAGGTGAACCCCCACTCCCCATGGCCGGCTCCCCCAAACCAGTCCTGAACTTCCTAGGACTCCGGTATCCACTGCAGGTAGAGTGGGAGTTGGCTGTCGGAAGGTAACGCCAAACAGAAGAGCACACAGTGTTTA